CCCCCCCGGCAAGCTTCTCTGCAACCTCTGCAACCTCTGCAACACAAACAAGCCCCTTTCTGATCTCCTCTTCATCAAAACCTGCCATCACAGTTTCTGCTCGAGATGCGTAGCACAGTACGTCTCAGAACTGGTGTTACATAACGCCGCAGCGATCTCTTGCCCTGTTACTAGATGCAAAACCGGCATTTTTGAGCCCGTGCTGTGCAGGCCGATGATTGAACGCGAGGTGTTCGATCATTGGTGTCTGAGCTTATGTGTTTCTGTGATAGAGAAGAAGGTCAATTGCCCGTTCAGGGATTGCTGTGCTCTTCTCGCTGATGAGAGGGGAGATCGGGAAGTGGTTAGGGAGGCTGTGTGTCCCCATTGTCGCAGGATGTTCCGTCCTTAGTGCGAGTCGATATGGCTTGCAGGGATGAGTTGTGAGATGTTTCAGAGGTTGGGGAAGAAGTAGAGGGAGGGAGAAGATGGTCTGAAGGTTATGGATCTGCATAGATAGGTTGGGACAGAAGGAGAACTCGCCTGTTTAATCAACCATATTAGCTTAATTTCTTAATTACTAGTTTGTTTTTCGCTCTAATATATGATTATTGTTTAATGAACTTTTTTAAGCTTAGTTAATGGGGAAAATGGTCTGTCATTATTAGTTAGTATGGCAGGTTTTATACTACTGGATATGGTGGCAAATGGATCATTCTGCTACTTTGCATTGTTGGTGGTAGAACTCTGTTTTTTTTCTCTTTTGGTGTTTTGATTTTCTTTTTGTAGGGTAAAAATATTTTGTGTGAATAAATTTTGTATGGATTAGATACAGATAAATAGTACTTAGATGATATTGAGGTGAACAACACCCTACTATCATTTCAATATCACCAATTACATGAAAAAAATATTACCTATGTTTGGACAAATTCTAAATTAATTACAGATAGTCTAGAGTAAACCCTGAATATAATATGTAATTACAAAATTACTCATGTACCATACTGCAGGGTGTTGCCCACGCACCCTCAACACACATAACGAAACTCCTCCGATTGGACAAATTCTTCTGCTCAGCTCCGCTTCATTCCAGCATCTGTCATTTATATGGTATATGACCCATACCTAACAATAGAAATTGGGTGGTATGTATGTAAAAAAAATTTTTTTTTGGTTAACAAGAAAGAAGTCAACATATATTATTGCCCTTTATTTCTCTCAAGCAGTGCACATATCCCAAAAGTGGGAATGAATCGTTTGATACATTTGAAAGGGGATGAAGGATTTACATTCGTACCATTCAAATCTTTTGTATTTAATAGCATGCCTTCATGAGAAATTGCTCATCTGTTAAATTTTGTTTTTTGTTTTAAAAATCAAAACACATGTAATTCTAGTTTTTGTAGTCCATAAAAAGCCAAAGTTTGCTCCAATTGTGCAAGAAAAGGAAAAAAGAAAAACATGGTATTCAAATGATGATCTTTGCTTTTTTCTTTTTCTTTTTTTTTTTGCTATATGATCTTTGTTTAGTTTTTTGAACTATATATATATATGAAAAAAATTGAATTAGGAAATGAACCAATACCAAGTTTCAACAAAGAAAAGTTGGTGTAATATTACAAATAATTTTCAAGAGAAAATCGGAAGGATTTATGATCAAACCAAATTAAAGAATAAATGAGACCAATCAAAGAAGGATTAGAAGATCTGTAAAGAGCTCAAGGAAGGATCTACTGGCGTTCGTTGGGATCCAATTAAAAATACCATAGATGCATAAGCAAATTGGTGGATGGAAAAATTAGAGGTTAAATTTATCAAAAGAAATATATATTTAAATTTTTCATTTAGTGCACACCTATTATGCATAACATTTTCCTTTTGATATTATGAACGATAGATTGTACCAAGGGGTAAGAATTTTAAGTTTGATGGAATTAAATCAGAGCTAGAGGAGAAGATAGATGTTATGTTTGGTGGGGTTGTTGTGACTGGTGAGCATTATTAGACTACTCAGGGCTCAAAAGAGCCTAAAGAGAGTCTGATTGATCCTACTGAGATATCACTGCAGGGGAGAAATGGTATTAGTGAGTCTAGCAATGCACAGACACCACCTTGTTTAAAAATATGGGCCAATCATACCAAAAAAAAAAAGGGTTCTACTTAAGGAGCAAAATATCTAAGCTAGTAACAACATGCACGAACTTGTCTTCGCACAATAATTTTCATTTATTCCGGACGTAATAAAAATACTTGTGCAGATGCCATGAGTTTTTGATGATATGCCATTGTATCTGTACTCACTGAAGCTAATTGAAAATGTGGTGAAGAGATATGCTTTAACATTCATGGTAACTACAAGAAGGTTCTGTTACTTACGCTTCTTCTATGAAAATCACAACGCCCAATTACTATTATATATTTGTGCTCTATGTGAAGTGCTCTTGATATTTATGCAAGACATTTTTTTTTTTCGGCCGAACGATTGCTCTTATTCTGATTGCTCTTATTCTATTTTCATGTTATCATCTATTTTTGATAGAATATTTATCATTAATGTTACCAAATATGATGGGTTGATCTACTTCGATTTAAATAGTTGTAATGTTTTATTGTCTCTTATTTTATCAGTCATGAATCTCACTCAGAGAGTATGCAAAAAGTGTTGTAGGAAAATTATCACAACAGCTGTAAGTGTACTCACTGCGTACTATGAACATCCGTCTTTTGAATGCGATGTATGTAGTCAAAATTTACCGGGGACAAATATGTCGACGAACTTTTGATGTTCTTCACCTTAACATTAATACTAATTAAGACGTACGCTTCGTTTCCAGCTTATTCTTCCTCTAATCCTCTTTAAAACAGACGCTTAATTGGTTTTATGCTGCTCTTGGATTCCTTCATCGCTAACTACAACGCATTAGGATTTGTTGCAGGCAAGTGTTTATAACCATAAATCATGCTTAATAGATTTCACTAAGCAGAAAAAGCTTCCTGTATCACTTAGAAAGCTGCAAAGGGCGATGAGCAATTTGAATACAGTGGACCGAACCGGCGGCATCTGCATGGAAAACAAGCTACTTTATTATTTCATCTTCCTCAAAGGGTGCTTTCATGGCAACTGCTGTAACTGCGTCGTCAGCCATGTTTAGGAGAAGATAAGAAATAATGCTGGCCATGATTGGCTGCCGGGTGCAATGTTGGTTGGACACTCTACTTGTTGGATATGGACACGGCTACAGTATGTATGAAACACGACATAGAAGTGTCTGAATTAAAAAATATTTAAAAAAAGAGGTCAAGCGTGCAGTCATAGGCTTCATTCTGACACCATGTCTTAAATTAATTTATATATATATATGTAATAGTTAGGAATAAGTTGCATAACATTAAAATTTTAATTTTTACATGTATCTCACCTTACATATATATAAGAATTAAAAGGAATATTTATTTTGATTTGATTTATATATTTAGGTTTGATATAAGATATTTGTGTGGCACAACTATAAAAATCAAATTTTATGTATAAGATATTTAAATACATAAGAATTCAATTTCGTGTATGTAAACACTCAAAAATTTATAATAAATACCTCTCATTTATTAATTTATTACTTATTACTTGTTAGTTATTAGTTAATACTTATTAGGTATTATCTTTTATTTTTTACTGTTTTGGCTTTAGAGGTCCAATGTCTATCAACTGCCATCTTCCTTGCTTCTTCCTCCTACTTCCTTTGATTTGCTTCGGCATCCCAATCTCGCCATTGAGAGCCTCACTAGAGCTTTGGTGCTTCAACTTCACTATTGTTGGCCCACTAATTGCTGCCATTTTTGTTCTCTTCTTAGAGTTAAATTTTGATGTAATGCAAGATAATCTATGTTGTTATATTTACATTTTCTATGTCATAAATTAAAGATATATTTACGGGCATCTTAGTTATTAACTCTCCATTAAATGCCAAGTCTGTGTGGCATTCGGAGCGGATCAGTTGTGAGGATTTCGAGGATTGGGAAGGATGAGAAGGAGAGAAGATAGGATGCAATTGGAGCCTGCGAAGATGGGGGGCTAGAAAAGGTCCCCTTTATGCTGATTTTATGTGGAGGGGTGCCGGGTTGCTAATCGTGAAAGTGCAGATTGTTATAAAATTTAGGGCGAAACAATCACAGAAATCGACACAAATCTAGAAGAACGCAGAGATTTAACGAGGTTCAGCAAAGATGTCTACATTCTCGGGAGCGAGCGGCGAATTTCACTATTCAGATGGGAGTTAGGGTACATGCCCAAGAGTTACACATATATATAAACATATAAAAAACTCATAGATAAATTACCAACACGTCCCCGCTCCCTCCAACCCACAAAATATGAAGAGACACAAATCTTCATCAAGAGACACCTCTTCACGAAGAGACACACATCTTCACTTCAAGAAACTCCAACTTTCGGCATATGAGTCATACCTAACACAGATGATGCTACTCAATCCCTCTCTATTTACATATCTAACATATAAATTTTATTTTTTGCATATATGTCGTGTAAAGACCCAAGTGGGGTCTTTTAGTGGGTAATTACCCCCATCAAATTCAAATTTTTATTTATGATATTTTAAGTCAATTTAATTAGTAATTTGTTTTTGGGCAGTACAATGAGATTGTATTGTCTAATTTTTTACAGAAGGTGTTATGTATGACGTAGTGAAAAGATAGTATTCTGTGTCGTGTTTCATCACCTTTTTATATTAGTTTTAGGGTTTAGGGTTTATGTTATCTAAATTCAACCTGTAATATTTTCTCCCCGAACCCATATTCACCTGAGCTTTGATGGCTCGACCCTCAAGCTTTTATTCAAGGCCTTAGTTTTCTCATTGTAAGAATAGCAAATATTCAAAGTATCAAACTTATTTGATATCTCAAATCACAGCCTATATAATATAAAAAATTAACTAGAATAAATAATATAAAACTAAATTTTGAAAAATTTAAATGCATACCACAAAATTCTTTCTTGAAGAAACCATTGATGTACCTCAATTGGAAATGAAACCAGCCCATCATTCAACTCCGTTATCAGCTTTTGAGGGAGGTGAGTCTTCTCAATGGCACCATTTGTAACAACCATGGACAAGCTTAAAACGAGTTTATTAAGTATGAGCTGACGATTACCAGCTGCTTCCACTTCTCGCAGACCTTCTGGAGAGATAAGATTGTGGCAATCAGCAATTGTCAGTTTTCTGAGTGCTGCAAGTCTTACTATTTCACCAGCCAGAGTAAGACATGTTATGTTTGAACAGCGAAAGAACTTTAAGGTTTCAAGTGGAACAGTTTAGGCAAGCAAGGAAACAGAGACTCGTAAGCTGCTGCTGCAACAAACCAATCCTCCAATGCTTCCAATTTCCTCAAATGTGGCGCCTCTAGCGATGGAAAGAAACAATCTTTGTCATTCCCATGATCAAAGCTGTTTAACTTCTGGCACGTTATGCGAAACAAAGATTTGAGGAAACATCACCCCATTCCATGGACAAATCCGTAAGGTTCTTTTTATGACATAATATAGCACTGCAAGTTTCTTAGGGTTCCTTCACATTTTCAAAAGTTTGATTCTTGATTGGTGAAGCTTATTCATGTGCACCAGCTCTCCAATTCTATAACCAGTCATGTTCGTAACATAAAAACCAACCATCTAGTCCTTGAAAAGAGTTTAACTTCCCAATCTCAAACATCTCAGGATACCCATCCCAAGGCAATTTCAGGGCTAGAAAGGTTATTCATATCCATTGGTAAGAAATCCTGAGGTAGAAACCTTTCTTTTTTATCGAAGATTATGAATTGCAAGTGATATAGACTGCTTAGAGATATTGGCAGCAGGAACTGATTATTTTGATGAAGCATCAAATATCGAAGATGTGTCAAATATTTAATTGCCTCTGAGATCATTATTGGGTATTGAGCAAGTATATACAACAAGTGTATCCTTCTCGGTGTTCTGAATAACTTTGATGTGAAAAGAGTTTTTGTAGATATGTTGGAATATCTCAAAATGAAGGAGCCTGATTTGGACTCACTTGAGGCATTTCAAAGAGTCCTAAAATCTGAGTTAACGTCCAAGAAATTTGTTTGAACTTAAATGACATTTGGGAGGAGGTCGGAGGACTGGGATAAAATCAAATGGGAGAATATGTTTGCTCCTCCAACTTGTGGAAGTTCGGGAAGTAAAATTTTGGAAACAATTTGGATGGAATCTGTCATTGATTATTGCAATGGTGATTAACAATAAGGAAACATTGAGAGTGGAGGGCTTGGATGAAGATGAATGTTTGCAGCTCCTCAACAATTATGTTTTTGTTAATGTTGAAAATCTTGATGTTCATCATTCTAAATTAAGGTCCATAGTGGTTGAGATTGTAACAAAGCTTGCAGGATCTCCATTGGCAGCAAAGGTCATATAAATGATATATTTCATATCTTAAGATTGAGATACATACTCAAATCTTAAAATTGAGCTACATGCTCCCATCTTAAAATTTTAGGAACATGTTGCTCAATCTTAGGATGGGAACATGTAACTCAATCTTAAGATAGGAAATATATCATTTATGTCAATTTCTGCATTTCCATTATCACTATTTAAAACTTTCATCCAAGCTAGAATTCAAAACACGACCTATGACCTTTGCTACCAATGAAAATCTTGAAAGCTTTTTTACGATATGAACTGCAATGAATCTTAATGTAGAATAATGAACATCAGGGTTTTAAACATTACCAAAAACATGATTGTTAAGAAGTTGCAAACATTCATACTCTTTTAAGACCTCCAATCTTAATGCTTCCTTCTTCATGTTAATCACCCTCACAATCATCAATGCAACAGAGAGCATCCGGGTTGTTGCCAAAATCTTACTTCCCAAGCTTCCACAAGTTAGAGGAGCAAACAAATTTTCCTATTTGATTTTATCCCAGATCTCCAAACCCCCTCCCAAATGTCGTCAAGTGCAAGTAAAAACTTCTCGGACACTACCTCAGATATAAGGTTACTTTGAAGTGCCTCAAGTGACTCCCAATTGGGCATCTTCATTTTAAGAGATTCCATCGTATTTGCAGTAACTCTTTTCACATCAAAGTTATTGGAAACACAAACCCACATTTTAAGATCAAATTGCTTTGTCATTTCATTTTCAAATACATGTTGCAAGAGAGTTATCTTCCCCATACCACCAAGACCAACTATAGATAGAAGAGAAATGCAGCTTCCGTACAAAGTAGTATTAGTAATATGAGCCTCATTTTCGTTTGATGGCTTTCTCAACAACTGCATAACAAATTCCTTATCCTTAACTCCACAAATAAGATCATTTTTTGGCAAGGATCTTGTTTCACGTGTCTTGTAACACTCAATCAACTGCTCCTGCTGATCCTGTTTTGTGCTTTCTAAAAGATGAAAGAAATTGTCAACATCAGCTGATAATCTATTAAGTATCTTTACAACCTGCTTCAGTTTTTTCAAGATTTGATCAAATTTGAAAAGCACGTTTGCCAATTTTGACAATACCTTTCTTCCTGGAGCTCTTGGTGGAACGCAAATTTGTATGCTCCTTGTTTTTTTTTCAGCTCTTTTTCATGCTTCATTCACTCAAACTCACCGAGCACGTCATCTGCTTCACCTATGGCATCTCGTAGCTGTCATAGCCCTTTGTTCCGATCCGACGTCAGATCCGAGTTTTGGTCTGTGATCTGTGTATGACTGGAAGCAAGGACCACATTATGGATCTTGTGGTGGTTTTCTCGCAGCCTTTCCAGCTCCTCCTTCATGCCTCTCTGCCATCTGACATGATCTTTCAAGTGCTCGAAGCCAGTGCTCATGAGCATCTTCACGATTGAACGACCAAACCATTCTGCCATGGCACCGATCAAGATAGAGCAGAACATGGGGGTAAAATATCAAAGCATGTTAAGGTATGCTAGATCTGTGTAACTAGATAACTGATTGAATTGAGGAAATCAGATTAATCAACAAGCTAACCTTCTGATGCCATTTACGAAAGACTTGAGAGAAGCCAGATTCACAAGCTCCGTCGAAGAGATCCCGTCGGCTTCGATCAAGCTCCCGTCCAACGATCCTATCGGCCATCGGCGTTAAGAAAGCTCCCGCCGCAAGCACCGAGATCGTCGCCGCTCGTTAGATCGCTTCATCGAGGTAGCAGCTGAAGACACATTTCTGGAATATGGCCAGTATTTAAACGCGTGCACGGGAAGAGAAAATGGTTTCTCAAATTTATCATTAATCTGGATAGATGTATTTTAGGGGGATTTGCATACATAGCATCTAAATCCTTTTATATGGCATCTCGTAGCTGCCATAGCCATTTATTCAGATCCGAGTTTTGGTCTGTGATCTGTGTATGGCTGGAAGCAGCTGGAAGCAATGACCACATTATGGATCTTGTGGTGGTTCTCTCGCAGCCTTTCCAGCTCCTCCTTCACGCCTCTCTGCCATCTGACTTGATCTTTCAAGTACTCAAATCCAGTGCTCATGAGCTTCTTCACGACTGAACCACCAAACCATTCTGCCATGGCACCGATCAAGATAGAGCAGAACATGTGGTAAAATATCAAGGCATGTTAAGGTATGCTAGATCCGTCTAACTAGATAACTGGTTGAATTGAGGTAATCAGATGAATCATCAAGCTAACCTTCCGATGCGATTTGCGAAAGACTTGAGAGAAGCGAGATTCACAAGCTCCGTCGTGGAGATCCCGTCGGCGTCGATCGAGCTCCCGTCCAACGATCCTATTGGCCGTCGGCGTTAAGAAAGCTCCCACCGCAAGCTCCGAGATCGTCGCCGCTCCTCAGGTCGCTTTGTCGAGACGGGAATATGGCCAGTATTTAAACGCGTGCACGGCTGATGGAGAGAAAATCGTTTCTCATTAATCTCGATAGATTAATTTTAGGGGTATTTTGCATACATACCATTTAACTCCTTTTATATTACAAAAGTCACATTTAAAAATTACATACTTACATTAAAACACCTAAATCATTAGATTTGCCCAAAAATAACACTTTTGGTGTTAGCTATGTAAATACATGAGAATGATGTGATATGCATGTAAACTTTTTCTTTTCAATAAGATTTTTGTAATGATAATCTACATATATAATAGTTAAATTTATTTTTTGACATATTTGCTTTCTAAAATCTTCCATCACATAACAATCAATTTCTAATAGGGTTGTAACCATTCCTCAAGAAAGGATGACATAGCTCACTTGTTCATAGGACTAGTAAAGATCTCTCTCAATCCATTATTAAGAGTTGTGTCTGATATTTGAGACTCAATTTTTGGTCCCTATAATGCAATATTTATCAACAACATCCAAGATATCCAAAGGCTTAGGATCAAAGAAGCACACTATTCAATCATCATTGGTTAGCTATTCCGAAGGTCTTTCACTTCATCTTCTCAAAGATGCGTTAGAAAAAATGAGAAGGAAAATATTTTACAAAAATCCACTTAGGAGAGTGTAGAAGTCAGTCTGATGGAAGAGCATTAACTAACAAAATTCTCATGTGTTAGCCCACTCTCTGAAAAGATGCCGAATAATTCTCTAAAAGATGCGAATAGTGTCAGAAATTTACCTCGATGCAACTTCAATTACCACATAAATTGCAACTGATAAAAACTATTCGCATTTCACAGTAGAGGGAATGGATGTGTTAGAACCTCTTCTCGCGGGAAAAAGACAGAAAAATATATCTTAATTGTGATCGATTATTTCTCCAAATGAATTGAGGATAAGACATTGGCCAAAATTACAACCAATGTCGTTTATAATTTTGTATGGATTGACATCATTTGTAAACATAGTCTGTCCATGATCATTATCACTGATAATAACACCCATTTTACTAACAATAAAATGAAATAATTTTGATGTACCCTACGGATACGATTAAAGTTTAATTCCGTCCATCATTCCAAGAGCAGTCGTCAAGTAGAGACAGCTAATAAGCTTATGCTAAATCTACAGAATCATCATCGTGATCGATTGTTTTTCAAAATGGATTGAGACTAAGCCCTTAGCCAAAATTACAACCGATGTCATTTGTACATTTGTATGAATTAACATCATTTGTTGGCATGATCTGCCCATGATCATCATCAACGATAATGACACCCAATTTATCGACACTTGGGTTAGGTTTTGCGGTGATTTGACCCCACTTGGAAGAACCTGCAGTTCGACGGACTCATCAAAGATATTGTACATGTTTGATGCCCATCCTAGTGTTTAGAGGTCCCTCTGTATCAATTTTGAGCCTAGGTAACTCACAGAGCCCTCCTACACGTGCTACCAAAAAATTAGGGATCAGAATGCCTTGCCCGCGCCGTAATTCAGAACGCCCACTAACGACAAATTCTCCGATCAAATAACAAGCAAAGTATTCATTCTTTATGTTAGGGGATCATAATTTACTTATATGTGGTCTCCCATAGCTTCAGATCGAGAAAACCCTTCGTCACATGTTTCAGTTGAAAACAATATTTTCGAGGTTAAACCGGTGTCTAGGCGCCAGCCCTGGGTGCTTAGGTGCCAAAAACAGCCCCTAAGAGACTTAAAACCCAAGGAAAGGGAAGTTTTGAGCCCGTTTTTCACGAGGGGCTGGAATGTAGGAGACAAACCGAGCATCTAGGCGCCGAGGTCGCGGAGCCTAGGCACCGATTCACTTATAAGACGGAATTTTTCTTGTTTTTGGGGCCATTTTGACAATGGGACCAAGGTGTCAAAAGAACTTACCCCCTTTAAAAAGGGGATTCCAATTACTCTACAAGAGGAAGTAAGTTATCTTGGCATGTAAGAGAAGGCTCTGCTTCAGATAGAATCTGAACAAACTAGTGTTTGGATTCAAAGAACGAGAAGCCCCTCTTTCAGATATTAACGAGCGAGAAGCTCAAAGTCGCTGCACGTGAAGACTATTCACCCAACATCATTGCACACAATGCCCCCCTCCAAAAATCATGTAAGTGGCTCTCTTCATCTATAGAAATAAATTTGACCCATCATTTAGCATGCTTTGCAGAGTACAAAGATAGTCAGACTTTTCTTATAGGCTCTAAAGAACAAAATTAAACATCCAATGCAGCTTTTCTTATGTATGAAAAGGTGGATTACACTATTTGCACGGGTAGGAAGCTTTGGATGTAAAATTCGAAGTTTCGGTGTCACGTAAGTAAATCGATAAGAATTGGGTGCTATGTATGTAAATTCTCTTTTATTATATTTTTTTAGCAAAGTAAAAAAAAAAAAAAAACAATTTCAACTATATTTTATTGAAGTTTATTGGTTTGGATGATATTTTATTAATTATAACCTAAACTTAAAACTAATGTTAACAGAAAAGAAGTGTTAGAATACATTAGCATATTCTCCATTAATAATTCTTTAAATTATTGGTAAATGTCATTTCATAGGCTAAATTATGTATTTAAATAATTCATTTTTAATACATAATTTATGATTTTTTTAATAATACAAAACAAAAAATAAAATATTCACCATAATATTGAATTTAAAATAATAAATTTTAAAGTTATCTATACACTGGAGCATTAGCATACTTGCTACACAATTCTTATATCTATACATCTAACACCCAAATTTTCATATTTACTTACCCAACACTAGTGCTGTCAAAGTAGCTCTTTCTTCGTGAACATCTCATGTTCGACTAGTTAAGAAGCTCGTATTTGATTTGTTCGCTAATTTAACGAGCCAAACACAAATATTTATTTGTGCTTGATATATAAGCGAGCCGAACACGAACAAAGATATGTTTGTTATTGTTCGGCTCATTTTGACTCGAAATACTACTCATCATCATATATATATATATATAAATATTTAAAAAAATGAATTGACTAACACTACAAAGATTTATAATCAATTAAAATTATTAATTAAAATGAAAGAAAAAATATATTAAAATATATTCAAATATATTTTAATATAAACAATAAGATTTAAATCCTGCCCCAACTCTTAACATCCTACAGTTGCACGATTAGTGTTGTCAAAACAATGCTTTGTTTGCGAACAGCTCGTGTTCGGCTCGCTAAGCAAACAAGCCGAACATGGACATACTTTTTGTGCTTGAAATATAAATGAGCCGAACGTGAATTGTAATATTTCTTAATGAGCCGAACACGAGAGCTCTTGTTCAGCTCGTTTACACTCCTATCTAACACAAATCATTGACATCACAAACATTAAAAATTATTTCATACGGATAGCGCATGCAGAGGCATCCGTTGACCAATCTCAGCTGTAGATCAGAGTTTTTTTTTTTTAAATGGGGGCCCACCGAAATATAATTTTGCTGTGATCGACGGTCGAGATCGGACAGCGCATGCAGCTATGCATGTGCTATACGTTTGGAATAGTGTATAATAATTTTTCCAGAAACATACCTATTTTTTACTTTCAAAAGTGAAATTCTAATTTTTAAAATCATGATGTAATAAATGTAAATATCAAATTTTAATTGCCCTACATGTAAAATAATACAAATTTTATCGCTAGTATGTAAATTTCCAATTATGGAAAAGAAAGTGGCATATGTTTGAAATTAAAAAAAAAATGAAAAATAATTAATTTTCTTTAAAATATATGACCAATATTGCATTTTATGATTACTCAA